TAGAGCCAGAAGCATTGTTATTGGAAGACATCTGAAAAGAAGAGGGAATAGATTAGATTAGATTCAGAGATAGTCCTTAATAAAACACCCAAATGTAGTATTAAGGCTAGGACCCAACACAATATTTTATAACTTAGAAGAGGGATGCCGTAATCTAAGCCATAAGATATTTGAAGGTAGGTGAATGACGATTCACCAATTTCCACCATGAAAAACAAAATTTTTAATTAGGTTTTTAATTGGTTTAGAAACTCCTAGATTCTTTGAGATTCATTGAACTTTCTTCAATGTCATGTTTCAATCTCGAGTGTGCCCTTCAAGTTTTGTGACTGGGATGCCGAGGATCACAAAACAAGGTGTGAAGTAACCATGCAAATTACTTGGTACCATTAATGTATTACCCCTCAATTGATGTGCCGGTTAACCACACACGCTCCATCGATACTATGATAAACATTAAGTCACCCTTTACCTACCTTATTAAGTTCAAGTTAGTGTGCCGGTTAACCACACACGCTCCACTAACGAGTTAAACAAAGTGTAAAGTGTAATTTCATGGATTAGCACCTTATTCACATTTTCCTAAAATAACTAAGATTAGGAATTCAATAACGTTTAGTTACTTTAGCATTATCATTATACTTTTAATGAGAATTAATAATTCCTTATCCTACCCGTTCGGCTAACGACCCTCCACCAATCAAGGAAGCGGTGGGTGAGAGTGGACACCCATTAAGTTGTCATTTTATAGGCAACAACCTTATACCCCCCTTATAGACCGGCTTCGTGAATGAAGCGTACTAGTGGTAAGACGACTTGATCTTATATATATATATTATTAACTTATAATATTATAAGTATAAGGGTTGAATTTTAACTTTTAAAATTCTAAGGGTTGGAACTAAAGTTTTAATCATGACTTTACTTATTCCAAAACTTGAGGGAAAGTTTTGTAAACTTTCAAAACTTTTCATTTCTTATAACTTATGAAGTTAATTGAGTATTAAAATGAAGATTTTTCATTTTTCTAACTCTTGTGTTCTTTTAATGGTTTTTAATTCAAGTGTGACTCTTGGTTTTCCATAACTTGAGGACAAGTTATGGACTCCATTAAAACATATTATGACCAATAATTAAACTACCAAGTAGGTTACAAACAATTCCTATGATCATCTAATCTTCATAAGTTCAAGAACATGAATATGAACATTTCAAGAATCATAAATTACTCATAAAACTTGTAATTTTTTATAATAGCCATTGTAAATGGATTAGCATAGACATTACACCACCTAAAACAAGTTTTATAACACCAAACAGTTTAGGGTAATGTTTCTAGTCCATTTCCAGCAGCAAAAGTCGAAAATCTGCATTCTGAGGCTCCTACTCGGCGAGTAGGATGAAGATACACATGAACTCGGCGAGTCCCCCCATGGAGTCGGCGAGTTCATCAGGCAGACAACAAGATTTTGACTTTTTCCAATATTTTGCATCAAGTATCAAACAAACAAGCATAGGCTCTGATACCACTGATGGGTTTTGAGCATTCTAACACTTCCTAAGTGTACATGCAACCCTAATAAACCTTGGATCTATGTTTGTCTAAGATACATGCAAATAATTATTTTCCAATGTTCTTATCTTATCTAGCATGGCATGGGGAACTTGAATCAAATAAAGCTAGTAGAATTACTTACCTTGTAGTTGTAGTTGATTGCTTGGAGTTTTAGAGCCTAGCACCAATAGTGTGGATGCCTCAAATGGAAATCACAAATCACCACAAACTTGGAACTTTGAGAGAATAGTCACAACTATCTTGAAATCGTCCGTCTTGCTTTACTCCCCACAACTAGTGTGATTTCAAGAACCAAAGCCTCCTTTATATAGCGTGGTGGATTAGGGTTACATCCCTGCAAACCCTAATACCCATGTCTCTTCATTTCCATGAGATTCATGGATTAAAGCTCCATGGAGTATCCATGGACTTTCCATGTAAGCCTAGCCCATTCCAAATGAGCATTAGCCCACACTATATAAATATAAGAGCCCATATTTAATTAGTAATACTTTTGATCTCTAAATTAATCCTAGATTAATTATAGATCAATACTAATTAAATAATATGATCTTATATTAATATATTAGAACTTATAATATATTAATAAATCATAACTTATACTATTCTCCAAAGATTATCCATAAATTGTTCGGGTGAAGTGCAACCCAAATGGACCATGCCGGGTCGGGTCAAGTACATACCAAATATAGTTATTTACTTATACACTATATCCAACAGGGGAGGGGGTAGGAAGGCTGAACATTTTGGGGGTGGGGGTGGGCGAACGGGGGAACAGGAAAATTTCAGGGGCGGTGGCGGAGGATGCACTCCCCGTCCCATTTGCCTCCGTTGACATCCCTACAAATATTAGAATCATAATCAGAACCAAAGGGTTAAAGATCCCATAATTAGAATTAAACACTCGTGTTAATCTTTGGTGGTGTTGCGGCGGCTTTAATGAACCGAGTGAGAAACACATACGACGTCTGTAACGACCCAAATTTTCACGTCCAAAAATTTCATTTTAATTAATTAATTTAATTAAACATTCGTATGAAAATATTGTCGAATCATAACATCTCATAAAACATTGTATAATGTCTGAAAACCCAAATCGTAAAATAGTGATAATGTCAGAGTACAATCGAAGGAATCTCATACTGCGGGATCTGAGGTGGTGTATGATGTGCAGCTACCGCGCCGGCTCCTTCCCCTTCGCTGAAGAGGTACCTGAAACACGACTGAAAATTGTAAGCACGAAGCTTAGAGAGTTCCCCCATCGTACCGCATACCATACGATCACATAGTATACATACTGCCGGGCAATTTTGGGGTGCCCGACCTACCCGGTACGACCATTCTGGGGTGCCGATCTACCCGTGTCAAGCCATTATGGGGTACTGACCTACCTGTGTCAAGCCATTATGGGGTGCTGACCTACCCGACGGTCCTAACAACCGACCCTCGGGGACTATTCCACACCCTATTGCTACTATCGCATATAACATACATAAACATACTATCGGACATATCTGGGGTGTCCGAACTACCCTTCGGTCCTAATAACCGAACTTAGGGACTATCCCCCCTACTACCACTATCACATATAACATATCATGCCAGCATATAAACGTAACATCACATACTGCCAGACATATATGGGGTGCCTGACCTACCCTCCGCTCCTAACAACCGAACTCTACTACTATCACATATAACACATCATGCTAGCGTATAACATATCAGGTAGTAGCAAACCTAGTTGATATCACAAAGACAATCATCTAACATACAACTCCTACTGGTGGGCCAGCATTGTAGCCGTAGACCCACTACTACTGGAAGGTAACTCACCTCGTACGAGTAGCTGCTGATAATCTGTGCGGGAAACCTCTGTCTGCTGTTGCTCCGGAAATCCTTCAGCTATAATCCCCACAAAACACTCAGTCAGAATCTGATATCTACTCTTAGGGTAAAATGACGATTTTACCCCTAACCAAGTCCAAGTCAAAGTCAACTTCCAGTTGACCCGACTCGCCGAGTTGGGCCGCCAACTCGTCGAGTCCCTAACCCTTTACATGTCCTTATCCACGACTCTACTCGTCGAGTTTAGCAACAACTCGACGAGTTCCTCATCTATATGAACATCAAATGAACCTTCATCTGACTCGCCGAGTTGTATGAACAACTCATTGAGTTCAACCTTCTTCTGATGAACAAGTCCTGTCCTTGACTCGCCGAGTTGTATGAACAACTCGTCGAGTTCATATTCAACCATAAAAGCAGCCTCTAGCTGCCTTGTAACTCCCTTAATGACCTAATTATGAAGCCTCAACCCCCAACTATGCTTTCAATCATGGTTGGTCACAAAAAATGGCTTATAAAAGCCCTAAATCTCCCCAAAAGGGATCAATCAAAAGAAAGAGCAAGATAACAGCTTTATAACTCCAATGAACTGTGGATGATGCACAAACTTGGGTTCCCCTGGTCTCCACTTGTTTCCTCAAGCCTTTCACCTTCCTCCTTATGGTTACAACTTGCAAGATCCACCAAAATGCCTTAGTTCCTCTCAAAAACGGCTAGGGTTTGCTATGGGAAGTTATGGAAGCATTAGGGACGAAATGGAGGCTGAATAAGTGGTTTAAATAGAGTGCAAAACCTCAAATTAGGGTTTAGTCCGGACAGCGCCTACTCGTCAAGTCCGCCCTCCGACTCGTCGAGTAGGTTATTAAACTTTCGCGTCCAAGACGCTCCGACTCGACGATTTGGACCTCAACTTGCCGAGTCCAAGGCCAAAATGCAAGGTACTTAAATGAAATACATACCAGGAACCAGGTGCTACAACGTCTTTCATACACACTGTAATTCTCTTATAGCAATAGTTTCAGACACCAAAAATTGGTCAACAATGTTGATCGTTAAGTACAACGTCTCCTTCATTAGCTCGAATTTGATGTAAACCTCAATCAGCCATCACAATTACCCTGATCTTGTTGTTAATTTTTGTTTGTGAATGCATGTAGTCATGGAATTTGTTTTCATTCTGCATCACAAACATATAAAATCTTTCATTATACAAACCTCAACGAGCTAGTAGAAATTGTATATATCTTCAACATACACGACTTCAGCCAATTCGTTGTCGATTATGTTGAGCATCAATGTCGATGATATTTGTTGGTTTTGGTTTGTAGTTAAGGCCACATGCAGTTTTGCTCCAGACGGTTACTGTTGAAGTGAGGGGCAATTGAAGGTTCTTGTTTCGGGAAGATGATTAAATTGCAGACAAGCACGGATAATACTTTATGGACCGAAAGGATAAAATCACAGACAAAAACAACTTTAATGATCTAAACAAGCACGGAAAATACTTTAGGGACCGAAAGGATAAAATCGGTTTACATAAGCCGATTGTGTCATTTCCTAAATTATAAATTATTTAATGCCATTCAAAACCAAACGTTCCACAGACTTCCGTTTTGGATTTTGCAGCCACCACAACCTTCTTCCTTTAAAACCCCCTGCCACTCCTTTTCTTCTTCCTCCCAGACAACGGTCAATGGCTTCCTCAGTTTTCTCCATCTTCTTCTTTGCCTTCTTTTTATTGATTTCTGTAGCATCTTCCAAGTTGCTTCTATTTCCACTCACCCACTATCTCTCTAATTCCCAATTCAACACTAATCAAACCCACCACCTCCTCAAATCAACCACCGCTCGCTCCGCCGCCCGTTTCCTTCGCCACCACAACCGACAAGTCTCCGTCGCCCTCTCCCCTGGGAGTGATTACACTATGTCTTTCTCTCTGGGCTCTGCTCCTAAGAAGACAACCGTGACTCTTTACATGGATACTGGAAGCGACACTGTTTGGCTCCCTTGTAAACCTTTTACATGTATTATGTGTGAGGGAAAATCCGACCCCAAAACCACGCCGCCACCGTATAATATATCTACCTCTGCTGCCCCTGTCACGTGCCAGTCACGTTCTTGCTCTGCTGTTCACTCCGGCCTCCCAACCTCCGACCTCTGTGCCGCAGCGCGCTGCCCTTTGGAATCGATCGAGATGTCGGAATGCAATAAGTTTTCTTGCCCGGCTTTCTATTATGCTTACGGCGACGGCAGCTTTGTAGCACGGATTTACACGGACACTCTTGAAATTCCGATGTCTGCGGCAACGTCTTTGGTGATACAGAATTTTACATTCGGCTGCGCCCATGAATCGCTCGGCGAGCCTATTGGTGTCGCCGGTTTTGGCCGTGGAGCGCTTTCTTTGCCGGCGCAGCTTGCTGATTTCTCACCTCATCTCGGCACTCAATTCTCCTACTGTTTAGTCTCTCACTCTTTTGACACAGACCGAGTCCGACAACCGAGTCCACTAATTTTAGGCCGGGTTGACTCTGGTCTCGGTGTAAACAAAGCGAAACGGGTCCGTGCTTCACGACTCGACGACTTCGCCTATACTCCGATGCTTGAAAACTCAAAACACCCTTACTATTACTACGTCGGTTTAGAAGCTATAACCGTTGGAAACCGCCGGTTACCAGCGCCAGAAAATATGAAGAAGGTTGACGGAAAAGGCAACGGTGGTATGGTGGTTGACTCCGGTACGACTTACAGCATGTTACCCGAAATTTTGTATAACTCAGTGGTGTCGCAGTTTGGCAAATGGATGAAGTCGGGTTTGGGTTATAAACGAGCAAGAGGTGTCGAAGACCGAACCGGGCTTAGTCCATGTTTTTACGTTGATGGGCATCAGCCGGGACCCGGTACCAAACGGAAAGAGGCTGTACTTGTGCCTCAAATGGTATTGCATTTTGGGGGGAATTCCAGTGTGGTGATGCCTACGAAGAATTATTTCTACGAGTTCATAGACGGCGGTGATGGAAAAGGAAAAGTGAAAAGAAAAGTGGGGTGTATGACTCTAATGAACGGTGGTTATTTTCCAGATTCGGGTGGGCCGGCGGGGTTATTGGGGAACTACCAGCAACAAGGTTTGGAAGTGATTTATGATTTGTTGAAGAAACGGGTCGGGTTTGCTAGGAGAAAGTGCGCATCTTTATGGGATACCTTGCGCTGATTTTAATTCAGTAATTAATATGAGCTCTGGTTGACCTTGGGTAAGGTGAGATTGACCACACGTTTGGGGAATAGAATATGTAAATATGTTAATCTGGATAATATTGTACAGTACTCTGGTATGGTATGGATTGGCATATCACTTTTTGCTATTGACACGCCACAGAGTTGAAGTCTGTGTACAAAAATAAATAACCCAAGGTAAGGTACGTCGTCATTGTGGACTGGAATTATTCAAAAGTAAGTTAAGTTGAACTTGAACACAATCAAATACGAGGTTCTAAACTTATCATTAAATTGATCAAATAATAGTGTATGCTTTTGACCGCATGACAAAGCAATAAAAAGACGGGCTTTACTAAATAGGTATTAAAATATTTTAGATGGGATTGATTAGATTTATTATAATAAAATTAGATAATTTTGATATCCACATGTGTATTTACAGTTTTTTTTTCTAATTTTAAAATTATATATATATCTTATAAAAGAAATCTCATTATTTCTAAAAATAGATTGAATATAATAATATTATTTTTTAAAACGTTCAAATCATTAAGCTAATAGTACAAGTAGTAATCGAAAAAATAATATTAAATTTTAACCTGTGTTTTGAATACTTATATTTCTCAACAAATTCTATCTCCTTCCCTGAATTTCGGATAAATCAAAATTTGAAACCATCAGAAAATACATGTTGATTCAAATATCCCTCCTGCAGATGGCTCTTTCTTAGTAGGTTTTTATTTTAATCCTTACTTGTAATTGATTTCATTATTTTTAACTTTTTGTATTTTTATCTTATAAATATATTGGGTGAAAGTTTTATTATATCTGGTTTGTTCCTAAAAAAAGTTTTTACTATGTTTCTTTAATGTGTTGGTTTTGCAGGTTCAAAGAACTCAACCAAGAGGGTCAGTTAGAGCATTGTATTATCATTAGTTTGTATATTTTTGAATCTTACTTTTGCAATAAAGAACGGTTAAACACAAGATTTGACATGATTAAGGTAGTTTGTATATTTTTCATCTTTTTTAGTTTAAAAATGAAACATTTTTCATCATTGATCCTTATAATATCAAGTTTCATCACATGGACTTCCTGATTACGGTGATTATTGTCCTTATTATAAGGTTCTATATAGATTTTGTTCAATATTTTAAGGTTTCGAGAACCTAAATCAATATGAATCCTTGAATTACATACCATTGTTGAAAATGTTTTAATTTGTGACCAAACTTGGTTTAAAATCACAATGAACAAATTGACACCTGAGTATTTTGGCCTTCTCAAAGGCCTATTTATCGACTTTTGAATCACAACACTTGATATTCTAAAAGTTTATTTTTATAAACTATTATTTATATATTTTAGCATTTTACTTAGTAGGACATTAAATTAATAAAGGAATTAAGAAAAAAAAAAAAGAGAGAACGATTAACAGTACAAGTGGGTTGGATATGTATAAATGGAAGTAATAACCATTTAGGGGGTGTTTGGCAAAAAAAACTTATTGTTTATTAGTTTATTAGCTTATAAGTGTAGGGTAACTTATGAAAAAATGACGTATTAGAAGTTTCCCACCGGAATAAGTTATTTTAATCCAAACACTTTTTAACTTATAGCGATGTGGAACCTAATAAGTTGTTTTAAAAAAAGCTTAGCCTAACACCCCTTAATATGGTATGGTAATGCTCTTGAAAAATAGATGTTATTTAATATTTATTTCTCGAAGTGAACGCAAAATAGTTTTAACTCTAAAAAGATCAAATTATTCGCCGCCCGCCGCTTTGCGCAGGTAGACGGCTATATATATATATAGATCCGGTAAGAAATTTTTTTTTGGTAGGAAGGTAAGAAGTTTTTTTTCTACATATTTTTTTGACGAACAAAATAAATGAATCACTAGATGATTCATTTGTATGATGATTCACAAGAAAAAATTCCCAAAAAAACATCTTTATGATTCATTTTTAACTAAATGAAGAAAAAATTCATTTTTATGACAATTTTAGTGAATAACAACAAAATCATTGTATAAATGAATCATCGAGATGTTTTTTTTGAGAATTTTTTCTTGTGAATCATCTTACAAATGAATCATCTAATGATTCATTTTGTTTGTTTGTGAAAAAAATATGTAGAAAAAAAACTTCTTACCTTTCTACCAAAAATTTTCTTCTTATTTGATCTTGAGTCTATATATATATATATATATATATATATATATATATATATATATATATATATATATATATATATATATATATATATATATATATATATATATATATATATATAATGTAATAAATATTATATTAAATTACAGTTAATATTTTTTTTTTCATTTTTTGTTTTAAAATTTTATTTTAAAAAAATACTTATTATTTATATTTTAATATTTTATTTTCTTTAATAAATCATATTAGTTTTATTCCTAGTTAGTATTAAAGTATTTTACATGGGATTGACTGAACAGGTATTAAAATATTTAAGAATTCAACTAAAACAAACAACAATATAATAACAAAACTCCAATTTCATAAGAAGCTTGAGGTAAGTAATAGTGAACAATACATGGCATTTGGTTTGTAAAGTGATCGATGAAAGATTAGAATTTCAAATTATATTGACTTTGGTGACGTAATAGATGATGGTCTGGCCTTGAAAGCCCAAAAATTAGGATGAGTGTTGAAAAGAAAAGACAGCTGTGCTGAGGCTGTAATGCCGCTAGGCTACAAAGTACAAACTACAATGAGTTTGTCTTAAAAGTTGCAACGATTCTCTCTCCTCCTACCGTTCCTCCTAGGCCGATAAAAGAACAAAATTAGTTGATAACTTTTTCTCAATTTTGTTGCTAAAAATATACAGAAAATTACAAACATAATCATATTTTTAAAATATTTTTTACTATTTAATAGCTAAACTTAGCCGTTAGCCAAAAATAATCAAGAAAATAATAGTTAATTAAATGTAACATCCTAAAATCATAGAAATTTAAAATTTTCAAAACAATCATTATTCGTAATTGTTTAAAAAAAAAAAATCCATTGTTTCAAAAGTAAAAATCATATCAAAGTGTCCTAAAAGTCAATATCATAAAAATAAGAAGATATGCACGATCAGCCCTTCGTTTTCCCACAACCCTCTGAAGTACCTGAAATAATCAAGTGAAAACTGTAAGCCAAAGTTTAATGGGTTTCCCCAAAGTACCATCACACAACATAATAAACAAAAGCATGCAAATATGGGCGTTCAACCTGACTAGACCGCATCCCAGGGCCTACAGCCTATCTGAACCGCTCTACGGGCCTTTGGCCTGACTAAACCGCCTCGTAGGGCCTACAGCCTATCCGGACCGCCACGTGTGTTGACCTTTAGCACAAAGCAAGATCGTCTCAACCCAACCATAGTATGTCGACATATGTAACATGTAAACATAAACACAGATCCAAAAAATACAGATAATTATATAGATTTACTAATCAGTCATATACTAGCATAACATTATCCTATAATCAAGATACATAATCTAGTGGGCCGACATTGGGGCCTTCGACCTATGAGTACAGTGATGAAAACTTAAATTTTAGCCCAACGAGTAGCAGAAAGTACACAACATCGAGTACAACTCCAACACCGACTCTACCGATCACCTAAACAAAACTGATGACCTAAGCTTAGTTAATAATCCCAAAAGACCTAAAATACCCAAACTACCCTTAGGTCAACCTTGGTTAAAAGGTCAAGGTCAAGAAAGCATCCGAGTTAAGCCATCCGCGTCAACCCAGTCGAGTACATTGGGCTTACTCGGCTGTATGCGGGGCGTACTCCTCTTGTCCAAGAAGTTGTGGATTTGATCGCGTACGTGCATCATACCATCTGGTACGCCCCAACGTATGCACATGATCACCTCAACTTCTGATTAAGAGTTTAACACATCAAGTCCTTACGTCCAAGTCCAGATCTAAGCCCAAAAAATCATTCTGAGTCCTAAAGTTTCCAACTTTATGACTGTAACGTCCCAAAAATATGATCGAAAATTTTCATTTTTAATTTAATAAAACAGTATTCCAAAACATATTCCATACAAATAAAAAGAAAATAAGTATTTCAAACATTATTTCAAATCAGAGTAATATCTCTAAAGTGGAATCCATGTGGTGTGTGCGATGCAGTCATCCCGAGCTCTTCCCCATGGAACCGGAAGTACCTGAAACATAAATTGAAAACCGTAAGCACAAAGTTTAGTGAGTTCCCTAAACTACCCCATATCATATATATAATAAATCATATTATGGGCCCCCGCCCTCCCTAGGGCCCCGCTCGGTATACAGATCTGTTATTATTAGGCCCCGCCTGACATTGGGCCCCGCCCATTATTCACATACGATATATCACACATAATCATGCTAACACATACAATGATCATAAAGCAATAACATATGAGTCAGTCATCGGGCCTCGCTTGACATCAAGCCCCGCCCGGTATACATAGAAGCACGAATGTAACATCCAAAAATACGGGCCAAAAATTTCATTTTTAAAACATATACTCAACAAAACATTAGAAGTAAAACATTCATCGATCATATCATTTCATAAAAGATATCGCATGTTTGGGAAAACATTTTATAAAACATAATAATGTCAGAGTACAAATCCCTAGGAAGATCTCATAGTGCGGAATACGAGGCATGTGTGTGATGTGCTGCTACCGCGCCAACTCCTTCCCCTTCGAAGAAGAGGTACCTGAAATCAAAACTGAAAACTGTAAGCACGAAGCTTAGTAAGTTCCCCCAACATACCACATACCATACTATCACATAACATACATATATTGTCAGACATATCTAGGTGTCCGACCTACCCCTTCAGTCCTCTCGACCGGGTACTAACTAGTATATCTGGGAGCTGGCCTCCCCTTCGGTCCTCTCGACCGGATACTGACTAGCATATCTGGGTGCTGGTCTCCCCTTCGGTCCTCTCGACCGGATACTG